ATTGGGGTTTTTTCCGGATTTTTTTCACTATTTTACCACTTTAACTAGTTGTACAAGTCATAAGAATGTATCCAACATGTTTTATAAAAGTTCAAGAAGTTATTTAACATGTTTTGGATTGTTCAATGACTTATTTGTTCCAAAAATTGTCCAATGACTTATTTAACATTTTTTGGAATGTCCAATGACTTATTTGTTTCAAAATTTGTCCAATGACTTATTTAACATATTTTGGAATGTCCAAGTGCTTATTTGTTCTAAAAAATTGTCCAATGACTTATTTAACATGTTTTGGAATGTCCAATGACTTATTTAACATGTTTTGGAATGTCCAATGACTTATTTGATCCAAAAAAAAGTCCAACGACTTAATCATTCCAAACAAGAAAGTCCATTGGTTTTTATTGTATTTTTCTCTTAAATAAAATATAAAAACTAATACAGACAACGAACATAGTTAAATTATAAATTATTATAAAATATATAAATTCAAATTACAGATGATCTATCATTTTTGAACTGCAAACCGAAAAAAAAAAATTGAATCCTTTATCAAGTAAGAAGTTATTTTGTTTACATTTTAGTAGTTTCATTAATAAACAGTCTCTGAATTGTTAAGAGACAAATCTTGTTAGGTAAAAAAAAAGTTTGTCTATGCTTAAAACTCTTTGTATGATTTTGTATCTTAAATCTTCCTTGACCCTTCAACGCTCTAATTTCATTGTATACAGTTACCAAATAATTATATTTTATTTTGTATTATATCATAAGAACCTGTTAATCATTTAATCACTATACACCAAACCATTCAATAACTATCAAAAAATCCTCTAGGCATTTCATAGAGACAGCAGAGGGCAGAGAGTTAAAAACCATATACCAGCAATAAACACCCAAATCAAACTTAACAACAAAAGAAAACATTACTTATGATCCAAATTACACACAAATGTTTTTTCCCAAAACCCTGTTTCTCATTACTACTTGTGTTTGGATAAAATGGCAGTTGAGATTACAACCACTGATACTTAACCAAAACCTCCACCTACATAAAAACCCATTTGCTTTCGCATCATACTTAAGCTTCATCGTACTCCTCTTCTTCCTCATACTCTCCCTCCTCATCAGCTGTTGCATCCTGGTACTGCTGATACTCGGAAACGAGATCGTTCATGTTGCTTTCAGCCTCAGTGAACTCCATCTCATCCATACCTTCACCGGTGTACCAATGCAAGAAAGCCTTTCTGCGGAACATGGCAGTGAACTGTTCACTCACACGCCTGAACATTTCTTGGATGGATGTTGAGTTCCCGATGAAGGTTGATGCCATCTTTAGACCTGTTGGTGGGATATCACAGACGGTGGACTTCACGTTGTTCGGGATCCACTCCACAAAGTATGACGAGTTCTTGTTTTGGACGTTTAGCATCTGCTCGTCGACTTCTTTGGTGCTCATCTTTCCACGGTAAATGGCAGATGCCGTCAAGTAACGGCCATGTCGTGGGTCAGCAGCACACATCATGTTCTTGGCATCCCACATTTGTTGAGTGAGTTCAGGGACAGTGAGGGCACGGTATTGCTGGGATCCACGTGATGTGAGAGGAGCGAAACCAACCATGAAGAAATGGAGACGCGGGAATGGGATGAGATTCACAGCAAGTTTCCGGAGATCAGAGTTGAGTTGCCCAGGAAACCTTAGACAGCAGGTGACTCCAGACATTGTGGCGGAAATAAGATGGTTTAGATCACCAACTGTAACGAGAATTTAAACATTAGTTACCTCAAACAAGCATTGTAGAGCAATTCTTATACATCATTGTGTGGAACCACAACAGATTACCCTCCAAAAGAACCGAAAAGATAAATAAATGGAACACAATCATATAAAACCAAGAAGTTATCATTTGAGAACTTACAACTTGGGGTCGTCAGCTTGAGTGTTCGAAAGCAAATATCATACAATGCCTCGTTATCAAGAACCATACATTCATCGGCATTTTCAACAAGTTGGTGAACAGATAAGGTGGCATTGTAAGGCTCCACAACAGTATCTGAAACCTTTGGAGATGGGAATACAGAGAAAGTCATCATCATTCTGTCTGGATACTCTTCCCTGATCTTTGAAATTAAAAGAGTTCCCATCCCAGACCCTGTGCCACCTCCAAGAGAATGGCAGACCTGGAAACCTGCAATATACCATGGACCAAATAATTCAAAGTCAAATTCCATACCGATTTAAAAAGATCAAAGGAAATAGCCTCAAAACAATTAATCGAAACACTGTTATTTGTGAAAGCTAAATGAAAATGGCATAGTAAACACAAACTGCATAAACCTTGATTCTCCTGTGTAAATAGAAGTTTGAAATTTTGAGAAACACTTTCTGAAGGCTTTATTTTCCATTTTTAATGGTAATCTGATCCCAAGTATTCTCAAGTAAATTGTATTCATAGCCATTACATTCATAATCATGGCAACCACCATACATCCAATTCAAAATGGAAAACAATTGTAGCCAGCAAAATCACCTAAAATCATCACTGTTCAGCAAAAACGCACAAAAACCACAATTATACTCATGACCTCTGTCCACTTTCTGAGCAAATTCCTACAACTAAAGTTCTTCAGGTTAAATGATACCGCCTCTAATGGATAAACAAAATCAACAATTACACTCCTTACCTCTGTCCACTAAGGGATAAACAGAAGTGAGATTCAACGCTTACATGAAAAGAAATGGCATGGAATTAGATGCCGGCCCTCAAGTTTCAACAAAATCTGAATTATCTCTCAGTAGATCGTAAATGAAAGGACAGGATCTATCATTTCTATCTAAACTTAAGCGAAAACGTAATAAAATTATAGCCGGCCCCTCAACATTCAACACATTTCACACAAATACAAGTACCCTTCCACATTTATATGTTAATTTTTCAGGCACTCATCCATTCTATCTATACGACCTAACAAACTTTTGGGCAAATTAACTTTTGAAGGACTCATCCTTTACATCTAGACAAATTAACAAACTTTTGATATATGAATATACTGCAACACACAAATTTTAACTACAAAGCCGCGAAATGATTGATGAAGAGTTAGATCTAGATCCGTACCGATACCCTATAAGGGGTAGATCTGCTATTTCTAACTCAAAACAGTCAAAATATTGAAGATAAATATTACACAATAGATGCATATATATGGATCTAGGTGAGCATGTATACCTTGTAAGCAATCACAATTCTCAGCCTCCTTCCTAACAACATCCAGAACCGAATCGATCAACTCAGCACCTTCAGTATAATGTCCCTTGGCCCAATTATTACCAGCACCAGACTGACCAAACACAAAGTTATCAGGCCTGAAGATCTGCCCATAAGCTCCAGATCTAAGACTGTCCATCGTCCCTGGCTCCAGATCCATGAGCACCGCTCGTGGAACAAACCTACCGCCGCTAGCCTCATTGTAATAAACATTGATCCTCTCGAGCTGAAGCTCAGAATCTCCGGTATACTTCCCGGTGACATCAATCCCATGCTCAGCACACACAACCTCCCAGAACTTAGCTCCGATCTGGTTTCCGCATTGACCACCTTGAATGTGGAGGATCTCTCTCATCTTGTAGGTTGGGGGAAGGAGGAAACTGAAGATTAGGGTTTGGGAAGAGAGAAGAGGAGTGACAGATTAGAGAGTATAGAGAGTGGGAAAGACTGGATCCGTTGGTTTTTATATAGGGTGAGATGTATATACGTATATACGTCTATACGTATAGGTCGATGGTGACAGGTTGTACATACGGTGTTTTTTAATGGCTCCAAAACCAATTTGATTTGAAATTTGAATGAAGGGCTGAGATTCGTTTAAGTGATGCAGATCGGACGGCAGAAAATTAATGGGACAAATATGAAATTTTTTGAAATGAGGTAACGGGGTACAGCTAATATTATTCTTTTTAACCAGGGTTAAATCTTTTAACTAGAGGTGCATTTGTTTAAAAATTAGAGTAAATTACGCTTTTAGTCCCTGTGGTTTGTTTAAAATTTCTATTTTCGTTCTTATTTTTGTGAAATTACATATTTCATCCTTATTGTTTATAATTTATTAGCTTCTTTATTCTCATAATTTAAAATTTATTTTTATTTTCCTCCTTATAATTTACAATTCATTTATATTTTAGTTATTTATACTTAAAAGTAGTGTTTTAGCCTCAGTGATGAAAATAGAAATTAATTGCAAATATATAGATGAAATCCGTAATTTTTAACAAACCACATGAGAAGAAAACGTAATTTACTCTAAAAAAAATAAAATGAAATAAAGAGTGAATTACACAGGTGGGTCTCTGTGATATGCTCAAATTTTGGATTTGATCCCTAAATAAAGTATCTATACTAATGTCTTTGTTTTTGCAGTATCATAACATTGAAGGTTTCTGAAATTAACATCATTAGTTAGCAACTGTTATGAAGAACAAATCAGTCTTTGGACAAAATACATGGACCAAAAGTGTAATTCACTTTCAAAAATTAATTGGAATTCACACATTTAAAATAAAATCTTTTATTAAAAATACTTTAAGTACTGTTAAACGTGAAATAATTAAAATTTGTTTGCTAGAATAAATATTTTTATTTTAAAAATTATAATATTATGAGATATTATTAAATTTAATCATCAAATAATTATGAACGGGGTACAACAATTAAATTGATGTAATAATTAAAATAATTTGTTTGTTAACCGTACTTAAAATATATTTAATAAAATAATATGTGAATCATAGTTAATTGTAGAGTGAGTTACACTTTTGGTCCTTATAGATTTCTTCTAATGGTTGCTAACTGATGGTATTAATTTTACCGACTTTGAATATTATGAAACTGGAAAGTTAGGGACCGTTAGTGTAAATAGTTTGTTTTTGAGGGTAAAATACATAATTCAAAGTAACCACGGGGACTAGAAGTGTAATTCACTCTAAAAATGAATTTAATATATTGTTGGCGTCCAGCCGTTCACCTAAAGCATACACATGGATGCCATGTGAACATGTTATATTTGCATCATGAAATTTTGAGTTTTTATTCTTATGAGTTAATGTTGTCCCAAGTATTGAAAAATATATTTAACGTTATTAATATATTATTTAAAATTTCTCTAAAATAAAAAAATTAAAATCAAAATTTTATTTTGGAGTATTTAATATTGATTATAGTATTAAAATATTTTATTAATTTATTAAAATATTATTTCTATCTCTAAAAATTTGTTTTCAAAGTTTTTTATTGGTGGTTTTATTTGGTAATCATTTTTTGGGTGTTTTTTTATATTTTGAGAAAAAGAACTTTTTTCTCTTCTGTTTTCTCTATTTTTAAGACTAGAAAGATACTCACGCAATGCAGCAAAATACATTGAGACAATGTTTCATTTTTTTCTGTCGATATAATACGGTTTTATGTGATTTTGAGAAAGCGATAATGTTTATATTCATAAAAATTTGAAGAAAAAAAAATATATCAGTATTAGTATGAAATTAATTATTTAAAAATTCTCGTTCTTTATGTAATTTTTTTAATTCAAATTTTTTATTAACGAAGTAATTTATTTTTTGTTTAATAATATAATTTTTATAATGAGAGTAATTAAGCATTGTGTTATAAGTGTAACTCAATTATTATCTTAATTATATTTAATATTTTTTCATTTAAAATGAGATGTTTATCATGTGGTTGATTATGTTTATTTGCAGTTAATTACATGAATTCAAACATGAAGTTCTAATAAGTTGTAATTACGCATAATTTACTTGTAATCTCAAATTTAAGTGATATGCATCAATAAAAAGTACTTTATGCATAAAAAATTATTTTTAAGAGTATTTGTCAAATGCTTTATAATATACTATAGATAGTTTTAGGGAAGTTATTAAAGAAAAACATTGGTTCAAAATCCTCAATTTCTTTATTTTTTTTCATTATAAAAAAATTGTTGAAGATACTTTTAAAATATATTTCTACTTTTTTTTAAAAGAAAGGGTTTAGAAAATTTTAATGAATTTTTGCATTTTTAAATTATCATAAATCGTTATTTTAATAAATAAATCATTAAACTTTCTTACTTTAAATTATTAAGTTTTTTTTTTTATAAAGAAATAATTAAACCTTTGGAAATAGGTACCTAGAAAAACTTTAACACAAAAAATTTATTTGTAATCAGTAAGAAAGGTTTTAAAGTAAAAACCGCAAACTGTGTTTTGGCAAACTAGTTGATAAGTTAATTATGGTGATAAAATAGTTGATGAATAAATAATGTTTAGCAAAACTAGTTGATAAGAATGTGAAATTAGCAAAAATTGCATCTTGAAAAATTGGTCAATTATAGTATTTCAAAAATATAATTGAAACAAATCTTTAATAATATATATATATATATATATATATATTATGTTATAAAAAATTGACAAAAACTCTTAAAACCATTTTTTATGCATGAAATATTGTTTATTGATGCATGGTACTTAAAATTCAAGATTACAAGTAAATTGTACGTACTTACAACTTATTAAAACATTGTATTTGAATTCGTGTAACTAACTGCAGATAAATATAATCAAATATAGAAAAAAAATCTCATTTTAAATATATCAAGATTTAAAATATAATTACGATAATCATTGAATTATTACAAAAACTTAATTCTTATTTTTATAAAAAATTATATTATTAAACCAAAATTTTTAAAAAAATGAATCAAAGAAATACACAGAAAACGATAATTTTTAAATAGTTAGTTTGCTAGTAATATCAATATTTCTTTTTCAATTTTTTCTGACATATCTTCGTATTTATATTTTATTAAAAAAATAAAAAAATAAAAACATTATCGTTTTCTCAAAACTACATAAATCGTATTATAACATCAACCACGACCAAAAATAAGCGTCAAAAGCGAGATGTATCTCGCTGCATTGTATGAATACCCTTTTAGAATTAACTAATACAAATAAAATGATAAAAAATATAATCTATACTATCTTATAAAGCAAATTTAACAAAAGTCTTAAAGTCTTAAAATATTAAATGATTAAAATACCCTTATCTCACATTTTCACCCCCTCATCTCCTTACATACACTCACCACCTCACATACACTCACCCTCTCACATTAAACCGATTTTTTTAAAATTATAATTTTAAATTTACACTTTATACCTCTATAATTAGTTAATTAATTTACTTTACGTCATTTATTTTTAAATGTTTTATTTTAAACTTTTATCAAATTAACATACATAATCGTATATCAATTAAAACATGTTTAAAAAATACATTTTTATTTTAACAAGTTACACCATTATAATCGTCTCGTTAATACTTTCGAAATGAGTCCAATATTGAATAGTTTTTTACTTAATTATATTATTATATATTATATATATT